TAGCCCAGATGTGATCCAGTGACTCAGCTCACATGCTATCTGTTCTTCTGTGAAGTATTTTAATGCTGGATCTCAGAGTCAGTAGTCATCAGTCTCTATAACACACGACTGCAATCTTCTGTTACCAGACTTACCTCTGTCATAGTTACCCTGCTCAGAGCAACGCAACTTTAGCAGAGCATACGCTCAGCTTCAGGTCTCAGCAATCTGCAGCCTCCTTCCCTCTAAAGTCATAATTTCTCTTATTTAGAAGCAGCTGAAACACATACTCAATTTTCTGGTTTCCATCCCAAAGACCCAAGTTAACCAGCTGAAGAGGTCTTGCATCTCCCCATCACTTCCCTGAACTGCTTCTGTCCCTCCTAGGATGCCAGCTCACCTCAGCACATAGCAGTGCTCTCCATTTTACCCCAACTGTTGCAACAGTCAGTCCATTTCTGACACTCCAGGTCTTGCAATCAGGTGAAGAGTACATTTTTTTGTTAATAAAAAACATTTTCTAGCCACCTTCATGCTTGCTTAGGAAAACTCGGAGATGCAATTTGCATCTGAATTATCTGAACACACTTACAGGCTCACAAACCAGGCAGCTGCTGTAAAGAAGTAGGTACATATTTCAGTTGTGATTTTTTCATCCAGCATCATGGTGTGTCAAGACTTGCCTCATGACTTTTGAATGCTGACGAGTCCAGCAACCCTGACCACGAGCTCTGAGTAGTTTTGATGCTTTATTGCATGGGAAGTGGGGACTCAAGCTTGTGATGCTGATGCCTTTCAGTGCTATGATCAAGTCTGCTGTGCGTTTCAGTACTGTCCCATGGAGATGGCATGTGCAAGCCCTGCCTCACCCATTCTTGTCCAAGCCAGCCCTCTCCCTTAAGGACTTGCGTGGGGTAGAGCAATCCTTCATGGGTGCAAAAGCAAGACTCAGTCCTGCTCCTCAAAGAAATTCATGAGAATTTTTGCCTTTGGCATATTAACGGAGACAGGGTCTTGCCCAAAGCACATACCAAGGGAATAAATCCTCCAGAAATATGAATTCTTTTTGCCTCATACCAAAACATTCATAGTAAGCCCAGGCGGCACTCCGCAGCAAAACATTGGCAAGAGGAAATGCTAATAAAAAACTAAGACATCAAAAAACACCAAGAAAAACTTCCCAGAAGAAACAAACATTAGAAGAATATGCTGCCCATTCAGTCAAAAAATGCTAACAAACGAATGCTGTCTCATGATGAAACTGAAATATTTACAGGAAGAGAGCACAGAATTTTGGCTGACAAACACAAAAAGTATCTTCTACCACAATTCTTTTCTGTGCACAACAAAGGGGAGACAAAACAGAGGAGGGAAAGTGGGGAAGTAAGGGGAGGGTAAAGAATGGGGACAAAAAAGCAGAAGAGGAATATGGATTAAGAAATTGATGTAAAAAAAAAACAAAACAACAAAAAAACAATAAGCAAGGGGGCACAACAGAGAGCAGAATTCACACTAGGAAGTCTTGCTGCTCCCTAGTTACCTGCAAGTAGCCAGATTCATTGGCAACTCCCTTAGGCAAGCAACAGAGACTTTTTACTTCCCCTACATAAGAAGTGGAGCACTAATAGAGCCTGCCAAGAGCACGCACAAAACATTCGGCTGACCAATGGGACAATTGGGACCAAGTGAGTGGAAAGAACATGTCGATTATTAATTAATTTGTTCTATGTTCATGTCATTCTAGATGATTACATGCATTGGTTCCCCAGCCTGAGCGTTCCTCAGTCACTAATCCCCATGATTCATGACCGACAGTTGCTCAACACGGCTGTCAATGACTTCATCATGTTGCATGGAAAATCCTCTCTAGATACATGCGTGTGCAGTGACTCACTTTGACACCTTGGGTTGACATTTGCAACATGGGCCAAGTCTGTCAATAAGACAAAGGCACTTCTTGTGAGGTTGCCAAGCCATTAGGTTGGATATCAAACAATGGAGCACTTAGGAGAAGGCAGGAAAAGGTAGCCCTCAAATATTCAGTTCACGTATGCAACAGCTGAGTGCATTGGCACAAGAAAATACTCAGTGCAACAGCTCTTCTCTGGCAGCAGTCAGAAACAGTACTACAGAGCACAAGGCCTCTAGTCCATTTTCATGTCATAAGCATGGAGAACAGAAAAAATACTCTGCACAACACTTAAAGTCCACAAGAAGGAACATCCCAGGAAGCTCTCAAAGACCAAGACAGATCTTTCCATTTAGACAGAATAAGATATTTCAGAATTGAGAGTCATCAGGAAAAGCCTGAATCAGAAGAGAAATATTACATAAAATAGCACTCAGATGTCACCTGGGAAGAAGAAGTAAGATATACCATAAATCCAGGCATGTGGGATACAAGAACCTCCAGCCAGGACTGGACAGCAGAGCAGCTGTCTCAATCCATTTCCACCATGGAGGCACACGTGAAAATGGGAGCTGTAAACAGAAAATCAAATAAATGTTTTCTCCTCTCCATTGGAGAAACTGAAACTGAGAAGGTGTTCATCAGTTCCCTCAACCTCTTCTGCAATCCTTTGTAAAGTCTGTAAGAAAAATCAAAGCCAAAAAGAAAGATCTTGGAAGCAGTATGTAGTATGAGCCCAGTATTGCATCCTACATGAAAAAAAGCATGATGTACATAGAGATGCTCAGAGGGAGTATAAGGGAAATGTTTTCACTGAACAATGGTTTTAAACAGTGGATGAAAACTACTACCCTAGTGGTTCCGGTGACTTGGTTCTTTCTGCAAGAAAATAAGCATAAGTGGGTAAAAATCAAGTCATTTTGTTTAGGAAAACCTGAATTTTCCATTTTAAATGAGATTTTATCTTGCTATAACTTTTTTTGTTTGTGTCAAGTCTAGACTCTTGAGTGCTTCATTGTGCATGGAAAAAAAAATCCTTTTTTTAGTTTTTAGTTCAGCAAGGAAGCCAAGAAAAAGTTGTTTGATTCCACCCATCTTCCCTGGTGTATCAGTCATCCACTCAGCCTGATTCTCAGTCATTTCAAAAGCAGATGCACCTGCTTCCCAGGCATCCTGGAACTGAGGCACTCACAAGAGCCTCTCAACCACTATAGAAAAAAAATCTGGCAACAGCATAAGAGACTGTAGGTAGCACCATGATCTCTAAGAAACCCAGAGTTAATGCTGTAAAAAGAGGCACAAGCAAGGCCTGTTGTATCTGCTAGGATTTGCTGCAGTTCTGTTTGTATCATCACAGATGCTCTGCAGCAGAGGAGGAAGGACAACCTGATGGAGGACACATCTCCTAAGTGAGAGTGTCCAAGTATCCTGCTGCTCCTTCATAGGCCTGGTGTTGGTAGCAGCTGGATTTGCAGTTGTCCTCACCTCATCATGTCATCATAGCTATGGGGAAATGCTTTTTTCCATCTGACTTCAAAGCCCCCCAAGCTGGTGTTGACCCCATGGGGAGAGAAATCACAGCTGTTGATTATGGCACCTATTTGTTCACATTTTGCCAAGCTAATAGTTAGCCAAGGGCTATATCACGTCAAGGAGATTTACGTGGCACTTTAAGGCTCTCGCACCTTCCTAAGGGCACAAGAGAAGGCATGACATAGCCAGCTCTCCCCATTGCTCCCCAGAGAATGCTTTACTCACCACAGCCATGCCCATTTCTTTCTGCATCCCTCTGGCCCTGCTTCAATAAGTGACACCCATTCACATGCCAGGCAAGCCATGCTGCTGTTCCCCTGACTGGAGCTACTTGTTACCCTAGATCAATACTAAAAAAAAATATTAAAAAAAAAATAGCTCTCCCTTGGGTATCATGCAGCGCATTCCAGTTCCTCCCCAGTCACTGTTTGTGCAGTGGTTTAAATACATGAAGAGTTACATAAATGCTAACTATTATTATAATGTTTCCCTCCTTCCAGTCAACTCCCCCCCCAGACTCACAGAAACATTCCCCACCTCCCATTTTAGCACGTTCATGGCATCAGAAATTACCCTGTTTTCATTTACCCTGCCCTTTGCCATATGATCCTGGCCCTCAGAAGCTTTAAATAGTCTGCATTATTATGAAGGCTTGTTAGGACTTGTCCCTAATCATTCCAGGAATAATCCTTGATGGGTTGTTTCAGACTGTGTGTGAATATTTGTACAAGCACAGAGCTCTGGCTTGCTTAAGTCCCTCTTAGAAGGGGGATTGAAGCTTCATGTTCAGTACAGAATGAATGGCACATAGTGGGGGCCATGAGTGGCAATGAACCCGTTGTGTCTGCATGTGCTAAAGTTCTTTCTCTTTCAAGAAGATCTAAAATGAAAAGGTACATTTCAGAAAAGAACAGGAGCACCATATTATTATGTGTTGATGGATGCTGAGCGGTAGAAATCAACCTGCCCTTTAAATGCATGGACACTAAAAATGGTGCAGTCAATGCTTCCCAGAACTGTGCTTGTTACAGATGGTCCCAGAGCTCTCACTGTTTGTGCACAAGAATTCCTGTGTTAGATACTGAAATATAAGCTCTCTGCTGGGGCTACAATCCCTGTTGTCTACCTTAAGATGGTGATATAAACTGAGAAAAGAAACAGAGGAATCTGATGATTAATAAGTCTGTTTCTCAAAGGCTGGCAATCGCAATTTCAATGTCATCTGCAGGAGAAAATCCAATGCAGAGATAAATCTGCTTTTCTGACTTGGTTTCCAGATGCAAACTTGAAGAAAAACAAATCACACAGGAGCATGACAATACAAAGACTTATGCCATGTAGGCTGCAATGTGTATCAGGCAGGGCTAACAGACAACTAGGCCTTTGTTTACCTGGGGTCACATTAGTCCACTGAGATAAAACTACTGGTGTTTGGAGGTTTTTGCAGTCATACTATGCATTGACAATATTATCTCACCCACTACATTCTCATGACACCATACATACCAAAATGGTAAGTGGGAAGCAGCTGAGAGACACATGCTCAAACAATATCATGACAAAATGCCTTTGCACCACAGATCAGCATTCAGTCTCTCCAACCATGTAGCCTTCATGTTTTCAGATGATCTTTGAACATTTTTCTGGGCATCTCACCATCTCTAGGACACTAGAAGTGGTATCTGAAAGAACTAAGATCAAGAGAGGAGGTTTCGGTGCTTGTCTTTTCATCTCTCAAGCTTCTCATAGGTATCAAAAAAGAGAAAGACTATACAAAGTCTTTTGGAACCATGAGATGCTGATGTGGTCATCAGCAGGATGGTTTAGAGATTTTATCTGACATTAATATCCTGTAGTTAAGTGCTTGGTAAAAAAAAAAAAAAAAGGCAAAACAAACAAACAAAAACCCAAACAAACAAATACTGCCCTCCCCCCCCCCAAAAAAAAAATAAAGGCAAGTTATTTGCAGCACTTCTATTTATTATGTGGGCTACCAAGATGAAATCAGCACTTAACAAAAGGGGAACGAGGCAAGCTGCCTAAATGCCTGGGTGGAAAAAGGACAGTAAATGGAAGGAAGTGCTACATGAAACCACACAGACTGAAACTGAGATAGGTGTTAAGCCTTGAGACCCTGGGCGTCAGGGGTGCCCCTACTGTGGGCCTATTGAGGGGATCACAAGCTGCCAAACAAAGACATTTGGAAAAGCTTCCAGCCATGCTGAAGACAGTCCATTTTCTTGATGGGGAGTTGGCTCACCCACAGGAGTGTCCACCTTCTTATGTGGACATCGCAGGCAAAACTCTGAAATAATATAAGAAAATTCTTTAAAGGGAAAATTCCTGCATTGCTATAGTCCATGAAAGATTTTGCAAAGGAAATGTCGTTGTTTTGCACTGCAGGCAGCCACACAGAGACAGGCAGAGGTGAATTTATCTTACCTAAGAGCACACAGTTAAACCAATAACAGAGCCAAGTATGGAGGAGCTTTGATATTCTGATCATGGAACAAAATATGGCTCTTCAGTCCCCTGGCATCCTAGGCCACAGATCTGAGGTCATAAAAGTGGGAATACTCAGACTCTTTAGGAAGCCACATATTTCTGCTATAATACAAAGTCAGGCTCAAACGAAGTTGCTGAAGAAGATGGACTTGGCTTCTTCGTGGGCAGAACCTTCTGAGGGCCAGCACTGGCTGCTCTCTTTAAATACAGGTATTGGCAAGCAGGGAAGGAACTTGAGCACACTCAGCACTAAAGCATGAGACATTTCTTCAAGGTGCAAAGTCAAATTTTGCACAAGGGTAAACCAGTGCTGCAATGAGCAGACAGTTACAGAAATTATAGCAGTGACACACTCAAGCAAAAAATGTTCTTCAACATATGCAAGGAGAACAGAGTCTGTAGAGGAGACAGAAAGGAGCTACACCTAAAACAAATAAATACATAAATAAAAATAAATAAATAAATATGTAAAAGCAGGTCCTACTTTAAAGTTGGAACTCAAGGTGAAAAATGCAATAACAACCAGTCATTCCTAGAGAAGATCCCCTCAAAGAGGAGCCTGAGGACACTGTGAGCACAGCCTCATTCTAATGGATGTTCAAGTAAACACGCAGGGGGGTCCTTACACTATTTCACCATGTGGACCGCGCTGAGTTGTCCAAATTAGAAACTGAGACTCCCTGCAAACTCCAGAGAGAAGGGCAGACATTTTTTGAACATGATTCAGAGCCCAGAGGGTAGGAACCTAGCTCCTGTTCTACTTATGTGGTCCAAACCGCCCCCAGAGGTGCCTTCCCCTCTTCTTAGTCCACACTCAATGTTTAGGCTGCCTGACATAGGTTCCCTACACTAAATGGTGAATATTACACAATGACAGCAAATTCCTGAAATCTTCTCTATGTGGTAAGCATGGTATGAGCCCAGAGGGAAATAACAGAATCTGAGATGGGGAACCTGATTCTGCCTCATAGTCTGGAATGGCAGAGCTGTAACAAACACTATTTTTCTTTATGACAGTTATTTATTTTAGAACTTTGATGAAGTCTGGCACATGCTAAAGATGGAAGAAGAAGCAGCTACTTTGTGCATCACTAGATATGTGCATAAAACGGAGTCCTGTTCTCAATAGGAGGAGTAAAAGCTCAGCTATTCCAGATGATAAAATCAGATCTTCTGTAGAGGTGCTATGGAGAGATCATACAATAACTACAAACATGAAATACAAGATTTTACTGAACTCAGAAGGACTAAAAGGTGTTGACTTAATCCATCCTAATAGTTGTGCTGGACACAGCTGAATTTGAATTTTAAAAAAGAGCAGTTTCAGCTCTGGATGCTTTGAGCATCAGTCACTACTGACACACAGCACATTAATTATTTAGCTATAGTTAACTATTGTATTCTTTACAGGTTATCAGCCAGGAATGACACATTCTCTTCAAGTATGAAAAAAATTACATACAGGAACAGAGGAGGTAAAACTGCCGAACAGGATTTTGTATGTTGGACATTGTAACACCTTATCAGGCCTCAGACGCGTGAGATCAGAAATGCCAGCTGGAACCCACAGGGTTTATCTGGGCACTCACAAGCATAGGAAGAATGAGAGCCAAAGGAGTTTTATTCTATATGAATCCCTGAATGCTGCTGCTGTAGATAAGGAGCAAAGTCCCAGGTTCCACTAAGTCAATGACAAATCTCAGTTTGACTTCATTTGGGCTGGGATTTCCTGCTCAGCATCAAGGGGTGAAAACCACACTAGGCACAGGAAAAAGGCAGCAGAAACTACTGAACTTGTGCATGGCTCATAGCTGCAATTGTTTTGCAGCCAGCACAAACCTACCTGCAGTAGATGGGAATGGTGGCTGATGGGTTGTTTGGTTTTGTTTGTTTGTTTTTTTTTGCTCTGCTAGTAGCCAGTCCGGTTTCCTGAGGTTTAGGACCAGACTTTATGGGGGTTTAGGGATAATTTTTGGTATATGAGGAGTTACCCTATGCACAAAGCAACAAAGCTTAACAAGTCACCAATTGTTGAAGGGGCTCCTGGGGCAGAAACCCTGTTCTCATCAGGGACAACCCTCTGTCCACCAGGAAACAGAAAAGGTGTTTACACAAAAAGAAGAACAAACTCCCTGTCCTTTGAGGGCATCCAAAATGCTTCAGGCTACACCTCCCCTGAGTAAGATATAGACCTCAAAGACAACAGCAGAAAAAAAAAAAGGCAGGTACCATCCTCTAAGTATTAGCGTAAAAAACTCACCACTCATTCAGTGCTAACATCCTCTCTGATTGGGGGGCCTTAGTTATTGCCATGAGACAACATGTAACAAATTTCAACCTGCTGTTGACGTTGGGACTGCTTTTGAAAATAGTCCAAATTTAAATCGAAAGAGAGGCAAGCACTTTTTCAGTTTCTTTTGCCTGTTTCTCATGGAATTTTGACTCTCCTGTAATGGCTGTGAGAGCAGAAGGAGCACCCACAAGCGTGGTGCCTGCATTGCCCATAAGCTGTGCCAGCAGAAGCCGTGGCAGGGCCAGCAGGGATCTGGGGAACCTCTCCCACCTCTTTCCAGCCACCACAGTGACCTTCCAGCCCACCCCGGTCACCTCAGCCCAACACTTTGCAGGAACGAGGTCACCCTCAGCCACATCGCAGCTGCCCAGGCTGGTGTAGGACACCCCAGTGCCACCAGGAGAGATAGCAAGGGCTTGTTTTCACCCTTTGGTGTTGCCTCCTCTCCCTTGCTCTGGGTGTGTGGGCTTTTAACATGCCAATTAAGTGCAGGCTGGGGCTGGGGTGGAGGTGCAGCACTCCGAGCCTCTGTCTCACTGCCTCCGTACTGTCACCTTCCATTAAGCAGCTGGCGGCCGAGAGAAGTGGAGGGAAAAGCCAGCGGCATGTTTGGTTTGCTGTTTTTGTGGGCACTTTACAACTTCAAAGGCTTCCCTCTGGTTCACAGGGGGCAAGGGGCAGAGGTCAGTAGGCACGGTTTGACCTCCCTTTCACCTCCTCCCCGAAAGAGAGACACACACACACACACAGGAAGAAGAAAAGGAAGACGAAATCCTGGCAAACACTTTTATCCTCTAATCTTTCTTCGCCTTAGTGCTGTAGAGGCTTTGTCCAGCAGACAAAATGCCCTTCAATGTCTGACACTTCCATGCTGGACTCTTCCTCCTCTTGTCCAAGGAGAAAAATAAAGCAAAACACACCACAACAGAATCGGGGAAAAAAAAAATAAAAAAGGAAAACGTTGCTCTTAGGGGCTGCATTTTCTCATTTTTTATTTTGGGGGGGGGAAGGGAAGGTTTTTTGGTTGTCTTTTTTTGCCCCTAGTTAAATAGCTATTCCTCTATACGTAAGCCCACCAACTGCATATGGGAGGGAGAAAACAGGCATGATTGTTCAAGATCCAGCTTGAGATGTAAAAAATGCATTTTCTTGTCTTTAAAGACAGCATTGTTGTATTTATTTATTTATTTTTAATGGCAAGGTCGCTAGCCCGGGGCACTGAGGAGTATGTTCGAGTTTCAGAAAGCTCTCCACAGCTGGTGATTATATCCCTTGCAGTGCATACAAAGACATTGAGAAAGCAGCAGAGAAAGTAAACAGTATCACTTCTGGGGATGGAGGGGGAGAGGAGGAGGGGGGTGGAGGAGGAGGAGGAGGAGGAGAAGAGAGGCAGATGAAATTTAAACTGGCGGTCAGCCCAGGCACCAACTTAAAACAATACAGTGAGAGGAAGCCAAAAAGGAAAAGAAAAAAAATGAAGCAGAGGGGCGTGTATAGAGACACGCTATGTGTGCACACGCGTGTGAATGTGCGCAAAGCAAAGCTACAGCAAGAAAAGGAAGGGATGAGGTTGCAAGCCCAGGTTTTGAGAGCCATCCCTGGAGGTTCATCACGGAGCAGAACAGCTTGCAAGGGGAGGTTTTGGGGGCAAAGCCATCATCTTCAGTGTAAATACATCTACAGGCATTTCTAATCAAGGATAGCTGTTCATCTCTCTCAAGAATGAGGGAAGGGAACACACATGGTCCAGAAACAGCAGTCTCAGCCCTGTTACCTCCTGCATCCTTAAAACTAAGAAAGAGGCAGGCAAGTCCAGGCCATAATCTAGTGGCTGATGCTCTTCTGTCTGGCACAACACAGACTTGGGCTATGCTTGTCTTTCTGCTTTGGAAATCATGCTCCTCATTGACTTGAGGCAGTTTAATCTTAAGCTACTGCCTTTCTCCAGCATTTTGTTTTGCCAGTTCGGGAAAAAACAGAGTCACGACTGGGTGGTGGTTTGGAGAGCCAAATGTTTTATGGGTTACAGCACAGGGTACAAACTGGATGCAATTTGGTCCAAGCCTCTACAAGCGCTCCTCACACAGACTGGTCCTGGGTGCTGGCTGTGGCTCAATCCTCACCTAACAGTTCTGGCTATGTTAGATCTTCTCTGGTCATGCTGACCTTGAATTCACTGGAATAAGGTTAGTCATCTTAGTGTGGGGGAAGGGAGAGGCAAGCTTTTTGGAACATCCATCTGCCTGGCAAAGGCTAACAAGCCCTCATTTACAGACGTCTATACATGTGCCTCAGCAGAAATGTAGTTGGAAAGCTTCTGGAGAGACAGCATACCTTAAAAAGATCAGAGCAGCCTGTTCTTTGGGCTTCCCATGCAGTTTTCTGCTACCTTTCTCACCCAGAGGAGTCAGGCATCCAGCAGGTTGATGTGTTCTCTAAAGCACTCCAGCACTTGCCCTCTCCTCCAAGAAACAACACAAATCTTGAGACCACAGCTGCAAGCCCTGGCAAACTATGGCTCTCACCCCATATGGGAGAGCAGTGATGCAGCTATATTTCTGGCTGAGCTTCAGCACCCTTGGTGGTATTTTACAGGACAGGTTGGTCAAGAGACATGAACTCCAAGTGCTTGCTACTTAGTGTGTTGTTATTTTGAATTAAAGGCCTCCCCAGACAAACACTTCTGCTAGCTCACTGGCCTCCTGTGCAACAAGACTAGTTGGCTCGGTCCTTCTCTGACCAGAATTTAATCCTTCACTCTATCACCAGTTTGAGAAGGGAAGATGCATAGTAATAGGGGGCCTTTTGCGCTATACTTTGCTGCTTCTACATATGCCCTGGAGCAGAACCAGACAAAGCAGACTTCAATGACAAATGCAGCAAACAGCACTGCACTCTACAAAGGGTTTCTCAATTCCCACCACCTTGTGAAGATTTGGTATGGATTCAACTGATCTGGCAGCTTCTCGGAGGGCTTCTTGCCCTATCTCCTTGACACGTGTTGCATTTAAAATCTTCAACCACAAAAATTTTCAACTCCTACAACTGATTTCTCAAGGGTGATGGTAAATTAGATTCTTAGCATCCCATTAAGCAGGGCCAATGATTCAACATTATTTTGAGACTTAAGTGACTATGGTACTGAAAAGAGATTTCATTTCATTTTCATCAGACACTCTAAAATTTATGCACTGGTTACTCACAGGTAGTTTTTTGCTTGAACAATGCTAGTTGCAATAGGCAAAAATCTAGTTTGATATTAAGAAAAAAGATTCACATTTAAAGTTAGTACTGGAATGGGCTGTTCAGAGAGGTTGTGGAATCTCCATCCTCAGAGAAGCTCAAAATTGGACTGGGCAAGGCCCTGAGCAACCTGAATTCATTTGGCCCTGCTATGAAAGGGCTTGAACTGATGACCTCTGGAGGTCCTTTCCAACCTATATTAATCTGTGACCAGGAAGGCCACGTCAGAACCTGCCCAAGATACATACAGTACCTCATGTCCAAGTACAAACATCAGCATGGAGGCACCCCTGTTGTGGTGTTTCCAATACAAATATTGCCATGGTTACCTTTTGATTAAAACAAACTCAGTTATATTTGTCTGCTTCCTAAGGGTAACTATGCAGTCAAGCTGAAATAAGAGATTCTGAGTCCATTAAATCTCAGGTGCTGAGTCTGTGAGTCCACAACCACCTTATGCATCCAACTGCAACCAGACCCTGCAAAGGGGGAATCCAGGTGGCTCAACCCAGCAGACCAGCACTAGCAAACTCCAGGCAACACTGACACTCCACATGGGCAGAGTCTGGGTTGCAGATGAAGGAAGGGAGCAGGTCACCAGCCTCCTCTCCATTCAAGCATTGACCAAAAGCAATCTCACTCTCCGTTCCTGCACTAAGAGCAAATTGTTTTGGTTTCAACCAAGTGAGTCCATCTTCACTTTCCTTGCAGGAAATGCACTGAGGTCTTTTTGTGGTGAGGAAAAAAAAAAGTTTCTATAAAAAGTAGTGTCTTCGCCTACCTAGGCACGTGGCTAACAAATATAAAGATCACCATCTAGTGGCTTACAGAGAAGATACCATCTGTCATATGTCTGCAAGTTTGATGACCAATAAAGTTGTTGTTACAACATATTACAATTTATTCTTGCCTTCAGCTTTTAAGAGAGTCAGGCATCTACACAGCCACAGACATAGACAAGTTTCTGATCCACAGAAAACTGATATTCATTTCTCCCTGCAATCAAACACTGACCTCTTCCTCATCCCCCTTTTTCCTTTCACCCCTACACAGGATTTGGGCACATGGTAAGGGACTTATGACTTACTTTAGGGCCCAGAAATTAGAAATTAGATGCCTATTATGAACCAAGCAAACTCCTATAGCAGTTAATATAAGGAGGCAGATAAAACCAGAGGTTGATGCATCCCATCATTTTGCATGGAGAAGGAAGACAGCTAGGATGAACCCTCCTTATGAGGTCCCACAGCCTGGAAAACCAGTTACCCAGCAAGTATGAAAGCCTCTGGAAAACTTGGCCTGTGAGCAGCCCATGGGATAGTTTATGCCAACCCTTTTCCGTTTGCCTCACTGGAAATCATCCAAGTTGAAATATTCCCGAAATACTCCTCAATAGAAAGACACATCTCCAATTTCTGAAAAAATTTTCATTTCGCTGGAATAGTTCTGATGAGGTTTAGTTCTTTGAGGAAAGACTGGGAGAAACATCATTATAGGTACCTCTGGAAAGTTCTACTCATTCCAGGGAAGGTCTTACATTAACATGACTGTGATGCTCCTAGTCCATAATCTAGCACAAGTACTCCTTCGAATCTTTGTGCTGGGCCACATAGGCCACCCCTAAAACATCACATCCAACGACATACTTCAGAGGCACATAAAGAGATGAAGTACTACCAGTGCACGGGTCACTCATTTTAGTGGTACTGAATGCCACGTGGCAAGGCCAGATTTGAAGATAACAGAGGACACAGTTTATTTCTAGACTGCATTCTCTGACTACTTCACAGAAGCAGCCCTCCACATTTTTACCAAGCCAGTCTAATGGCTTAGTAACAGAACCAAATCATATATCTAAAGCATCATTCTGGCACATCTTCATGTCAAGTTCTCAATTTTCCAGGCTGTCTAAACCCACACTGCATTGATGGAAATGATAGAAATATGCAATGTATCAGTTATATTGCATATTTCTAACGGCCTCCCTTAAAGCCTACAGGTGGATATCATTCCCTTCTCTCACATAACTAGTGATAGGATGAGAGGAAACAGCCTCAGGCTGCACTAGGGAAGGTTTAAATTGGGTATCAGGGAAAATTTCTTCATCAAAAGGATTGTCAAACACAGGCGGCCCAGGGAAATGGTGGAGTCACCATCCCTGGAAGTATTTAAAAGCCGTGTAGATGTGGCCCTTAGGATATGGTTTAGCGGTGGACTTGGCAGTATTTTGTTAATGGTTGCACTCAAGGATCTTACAGATCTTTTCTAACCTCAATGATTCGATTTTATGATTTCTTTGCATCACCCAAGATGCAGCCACCCGTTACCCATATTTGTGGTTATCTGGAGATAAAGAAACTGAAGTTTCAAAATCCATCTTCCTCTGTGATGATACAAGATAAGGAGACCTGTGATCACTAAGGCACAAGAAAAACCACTTACAGAAGCCACCAAATTTGTATGGCATTCATCACATCTCTCTCTAGCTGACAAAAATATATATCTATGATAGTCAGCTAGTCTCCTGTTACAAGCTCTGGAGAAATTAAGAAGTACAGAACGAAAGTAGCTTGGACGCTTCATATAAGTTGGGACAAACTAATCTCTGGGGCTGCTCATCCCCTTCTCCTCAGAGGGCAGGCAGTCTAGATAAGCAACTTCAAGGGTTGAGGTTAGATTGGAACTCCATGCTTTGAACTTGAAAGGGATATGGTATCTCTTTGTGGTCTTGGGATCTGAACAGCAATCAACATGAACAAGAAATTCATCAGCACTCCTAGTGGTTACATTGTCCTCCAGGGGACTTTGCATCCGGCTCAAATGATGGACAATTTTCCATAGTCTCAGCAATAGCTTTTGTGGGGTATAAAGGCAGGACCCCTGCAGACCAGAAGTAAGATTCAACGCAGTGGGCCTAGAAACCACTGCATGCCTTTAGTTAAATTTGGCTGCTGAAGGGCAGCTCTAGTGGGATGAGGCAAAGAAGTGCTATTTTCCCTCAGGAAAGCTAGCTTTATTTTCTAAAGGTTAATGAGAAATAGAAGAAAATTAGGCTAGCCAAAAGAATGAAAATAAATGGGTTTTTTCTTCTTCTTTCCCCCTCGTTTTTCAGAAAAAATGCATGGCTTTGGTTTTTCTGCAGGCAGTTGCTTCATATCAGTGTACCATGTGGTGACTCAGACATGTTGTTATTACAATCCAAGCCAAAGGGGAGATACATTTTATGAGATACATGACTTCCCCTTGTCTTTCCATACTGTATGCTTTCCTAAACAAGGGAAAAAACACAGTCAAAACTTTGAGGATAGTTTGTAGTGCCTCTTGGCAGGTTGTAGACTGACAAGCTTTCAGCTAGCAAAGCTAAGAGAAACTCAGATTGGCAGCAAGCTCACAGGTAGCATCAAGGGCAGAATTTGGTTCTAAATTCCAAAAAGCATTAGAGGGTAGGGCAGGTAGAACAGTAAAGATTTAGAGCTTTTAACATACACCTAAATGGAACTAAGAGGAAAGGGGTTTTGGTGAGAGCTGATCTAATGCCTACAGACTCACCACTGGGATTCAGCTACTTTTGCTCAGCTGACAAGCAATAAAGCATTCAGATGCAATAAATCCAGTGCACTCAAACTGCATGTCCAGAAGAGCCAAGACCACCTGTAAATCAGATTGCTTCTCCTATATTCCCCCCCCAGCAAAAATTGAACTGTCTTAGTTGCACACCCAGTTGAGAACAGCAAAAAAGTTATATATCCTGAAAACACTCCGTGAAGGGCTGCAAAAGCTCTCAGCAATCTGAGTGCAATGCCCCACATTCAACCCTTTGGTGTAAATGGACAGTAACTACTGTGCAAAACTCATCTATGGTAGGGGGGAAATCTGGCCTCCAGCTGACAAGTTTTTTTTCCTAGACACAGGTCTGCCTTTTGAACTCCAAAACCTTTGACCATTGTGAAGCCACCAGGCCTCAGGGGCACATGAACTAAAAATAAATAAAAGACTCGAGGTGCATCTGGTGGAGCCAGTGGTTTCAGGGAGAGGTTACAGAGGTAACATTTTGACTGTGTTTAAATGCTGCACAAAGCCAAAACTGTTAAGAAACCCTCACCCGTCCCATACAGGTAGAATATGAGAGCTTTTAAAGTTTAAAACAATCATCCAATCAGAGGAGATATCAGATGGCTCCAAGTAACAAAGACATATTCTTTCGAGTCAAGTTATGAGAAGTATTCCCTAGGGGAATGCCATACAAATCATCTGATCTACTAGATGCTTGTGGCATTCACCACATGTTTTCTGTTCCTTCCCAGAGATGATGTTTCTCTGGCACTAAGAACATTGTCATTCTCAGCCTACTCTGACAGGCCAGATGTATGCAAATAAAAAGAAAGTTCAGTAAAAATCTAACTCTCAGATGCCTGAGTTCTTTGAGGGAAGAGAGGAAAATGAATTCCCGTTACATTTCAGGAGGGCTGGGCATCCCAGCACATAACCTCACAGGCCAAAGATTTCGGATAAAGAGCAGAGGAAAAGTTTTGAATTATTCCAGAACTCCTTCCACTACCTCACTTCCAGACAGATATGAAGTGACAACACCCTGAAACAAAGCAACACAGCCGAGTAGAACATTATCAGATTACTCAGAACAATTCCCATTGTTAGTGACCCAGAATTCGTCACTTAGAACAACCTAGAATTGGGATCTCAGCAAGTACTCAAAGCCACTTAACCCTTTCAGTGGTGTCCCCCACACCACCACAATAGAATGGAACATAAAAGAAAAGCATCTCTTATTGCATCTGGAGACAGACTAAAAAGAGGCAGTAGGTGACTTCTACTAGACATAGCACATTCTCAAAGCAACATCACTATAATCCAAGAGTGAGGAAAAGCCAGTGATTACATGCCTGCTAAATTATTTGGAACTGAATAGGATACCGTATCATGACAATGAGTGATAGTATAAAGCTCAAGACACAAAAAGAAATACTGCATGTTTCATGTAACTGGCAGGAACACATTCCACATTTCAGTGTTTTGGCAGGAAAATACAGGTTTGTACTGGGACTATGTATTCAAACTCCTCATTGATTTACAGATACAAAGAATTGCTAATGCAACCTTAACATGAGGAGGATGGTTAGCAAATCTATCAATAATGCTGGTTTTTCGCCATCTTTTTGCATGAGCAAACATACCCACATTTTCTCTCAGTTAAAATTTCAGTTAGAACTCAATCAAAGGGGAAAAGTAACACTAAGGGATTTAATTTTTTACTTTTTTAAAGGCCAGGCATTAATGTGACAATCTGTGAGGCACTAAGATGAAGGCCAGCAAAATTGCAAATGATGTTATTCAAAGCCAAAGGAGAACAGCAAGGAAGAGAGCTGCAGCAAAAGCAGCCTATAGTGACCCAAAAGAATGCTTGCAACAATCTGCTTCTGGCAACAGCCTCCTCTTTGCACAGGATGGGGATCAGAAGTGTGCTTCTGTGCTGCTGACCTGTTGAGGACCGACAGCCTTTGAATTCCAGTCAGGACACTCGGACTCCAGCACTATGATACACGTTAAAAATGAACACTGGCTGACACAAGTAGGATACCGTTACCTCACCTAGACTAGCAGCACAAAAATCTAAATTCCTGGGAGATTCAAGTCAGTGGATGTATTCATGACCTACTTCTAAGGTACAGAACAGTCACAGCTGTTAGCTGAAAATGGTTGTAGAGTGGCACATTCTCTGTTCCACCTGCTCAGTTACTTGGTACAGAG